GAGGCGGTCGAGAGGGGGACGGGAGAATTGGGAAGGGTCGCGGTCAAGGATGAGGACGGCTTTGAACTCGGCTTCGCAGCAGAGGAAAGTGTCGAGGAGGTCACGGAGCCAGGGAATGGAGAGGAAGGGCGGTGGTGGGGCTGCCGGATTGTCGGGCGGCGTGATGGTGGAGGAATCGGAGGAGGAGGGGAGGAGATAGGAGAAGCGGATGGAGACGTGTTTTTGGAAGAGTTCGAGGTCATCAAGCTCCTGATCGAGGGGGACTTGGTTTCGGCGGATGCTAATGAGGTTGAGGAAGGAGGATTGATCCATGGTTGGTGATGGGAGTGTGTGTTTGGATTGAAGGATTGATTGGGGTGGAGAAGAGAGGAAATGAAGAGGAGTTAGATGATGATGTTTGTTAGTTGTTTGTTGTTAGTTGTGATTTTTGACAGGGGAAAAAATGGATGGATGGATGCAGGGATGGTTAGTTAGCATAGTATGTGGGAAGCGTGACCGGTTTTTTCTTGTGTTTTGAGAGGATGACTCGGTGCTTTGTCCCTTTCTTGTTGTGCTTTTTTGTGTGTGTGTGTGTGGTTTTTGGTTAGTAAAGATGATAATATTAATATTATTCATTGTATAATATTAATATTATTTATTGTGTTTATTGAGAATTTTTCAACAAAAGGTACTATTGAATATTATATTAAAAAGAAAATTGGAATATCACATTAAATTTTTTATCTAGAATATCCCATTAAAATTTTTTCACGAATATTTGAGACTGCAAAGTAATTTAAATTCCAAATTCTGTGTCAACCTGGACTTCTTTCCCTTGGCTGGGAGGATTTTGAATGAAATTCGAATGGAGATGGGCTAGTACATGTTGTCGGTAATAGTCTGTTTTTTTATCTAAGTTGTGCTTTTCACCGTCATTCTTTTCCCTCCTACATTGAAATTATTGTTTATATAATTATTACAATTATCCTTGTATTTGAGACCAATTAAATTGAAATTAGAAACTAAAAGTATTATTGAACTTAAAATTTAAATACTTAAGACGAATTACGAGAGGGAATAAGTTTGATGGATGAGAATTATATCAATATATATAGTTATAATTACATTTATCTCGATTATTACTATCTCTCCATCATATCTTTGATTAACAAAATGATACATATACTTCTATAATGTTAAGTGAATATATTTTAGGTTTTGGCTTCTAAGATGTAGTAGACTATAATGCGCATTTACCAGAAATTTTAATACTGGTGACTGCATGCGTTTGAATAATTTAGGCATACAAAATTGACACACTATGACCAAAGTACGAGTTTCCCAACATGGGAATTCGAGTGAACCCGAACGCTAAAACAATCTGTTCAAACAATCCAAAGCAAGTTTAAAGTGGAAATTTGGTCGGCGATCGAGCTCCAAGAGCCCGAACCTTCCCCATGCATTTGACCGACAAAGGTCACGTGCAAGACAATTCTGTTCGTGATTGTGTTCCTTCCCGGTGAAAAATGGCAAAACCTGCGTGAATCTCTTCCCTTATTTAGACTAGTGTAGTCTGAGTTATATACATTTCAATGGGTCGACAAAGCTTTGGGAATTGCTGAATACAGAGAAAACGTAGCAGAATATGTTATGGTCTTTAAAGGGGTGATTGAATATGAACAAATTTTGGGGTTGTCTGGTGGAATGAAATTTAGGACGTCGTTTTACCTGATCTTTTGTGGTCTGTGTGCTAGTTGCGAATATTTTTCGAGAGGTGGTAGAGTATTTTGAGAGTGAAGCTTAGAATGCAAGCTCCTGTGTTTAGTAGTTTGATGTACCATGCTAAAAAAGGGCCTATTATGGGCTGTATGGTTAGTTTGAATGCCTTTAGTAGTAGTTGGAACATAACATGTGGGCTTGTTAAGAACCCTGCATGAGCAAATAATCTCGTGTCAGTCAATATGACGTTTATGTGATTTAAGTTTGCGTTGAAGTATATGGTGAATGTGGCCTTACACTCTGTAGCTGCTGGGAATGCATCAAACAATGAACTCACGATCTTGAAGATAGTCTGATTTTCGGGAAAAATTGGAAACATAAAGTAAGAAATCTGTTGAAAGTTGAGCAGATCATGCATTGAACAACTTATTGTGATAAACTAATCATTCGATTCTTACATCATGTTGGCTCATTAACGATCTAATGTTTAGTCGATGTTGCGATAATAAATGAGACCCAAATTAGTAGTTTTCGTCTTTATAAAAATGTATAATTGAATACATCAGTACCAGTGCTGCAATTCCTAGTTTGATAGGTGACTCGACGAGAGTTTGAGCTTTCCTGCATATGGTTTGTGTAAGTATGTTAATTTCTTTTGAAAGAACATTATGAAGTTAAATGGAATGGAAACTGTCTCGAGTCCTTTCACATACTCAATCACTAGTTTATCGACTTTTAGTGATAGTGAGTAATTGCTGCATCCTCTGGTGAAAGGGACCTGTATCTTGTTCCAATCTGCAGTCCCACAAAATAGAAGTTTTGAAATTCGAAATATAAAACCATTCTTAAGAGGCTGAAGATAGGTAAGTACCCAAGTGCCAATTTACTCCAACTGAATTATCTTCCCCTCCGCATATATGCTCTATGTTGAACTGCATATTTTGGCCCATGCTCATTATAAGTTGTTCCAGAAAACGCATGACCTCCTGTAGTATTCGATTAACATACCTTTGTTAGTGTTACCCTTGTAAAGATGATGAGTAATAGTAAAAGAAAAATTATTTATATATACAAATACCTTTTTCCCTTGGAATGGTTTAGGAAAGGAGAAATCATCGAAAAAACAATCTTCGGCTATCATCCCATCTAGTTGTTTCATGTTCTTTTCGTTAATGGCCGAGTAAAACAGCATGATTGTTTGAGGTGGAGATAGTGGAGTTGGGCAATCACTATAACTTTTAGCAAAAAGCTTCTGTGGTTTTCTTCGAACGGCCCTCCTCTTTGTATATGTTGGTGAAGGCAGCATCACATAAACATTTGCTTGTCGAGGCTGGGGTGTTCTGTTCAATGGCACGTTCGTGAGAATAACTTTTTTTCTCATTGTGGGCAGCATAATCTGCCTGGTAATGGTATTGCTGAACCTTACTGGAGCCTCCATTGCTGGCAAAATTTGATTTTTTTCCCCCCTTTTTTTTACAACAATGGTGATATCAGATATGATCTGAAGGGGCATTGTTATGTTCCTTTAATGATGAGAAAAAAGGTATATAGATTTCTTGTCCTTTAGAGTGTTTGTGGTTTGTGCTTTTAGTGCCTTGAGTTTTGGCCAAAGAATGATACCATGTTGAGCCCTGATTCATTTCTTTCATCAAGCAACTTAAAATCTTTACACACACACTCAAAATCTCTCTCTCTCTCTCTCTCTCTCTCTCTCTCTCTCTCTCTCTCTCTCTCTCTCTCTCTCTGACCACAGCATAACAATTTAAGATTAAAGCATTCATTGTATTATCTTACCTTCTGCACTTCCATTTGTACTGCAGAGTCATCAAATTTCGAGCGAATTGGAGGAAAAAGAAAAACACTTTTGATTTACAGATGACAAAGAAACATGTCACCAAAATTGCTTTTCTGTGCAGATATCATTACAAGAGAACTCAAATACACGAATTTTTTGACACACATCACACGGCTTTTCGTCCTCATTACAGTGCCCTTTTCCTCGGCATGCCCAAATACCGAGACGAAGATGACGACGACATGATAGACACGAGTGATCGAATGGCCTTTGCTGCTATCTTCTTTTTTTATCTGCCCTCTCTGTGGTATTGGCCCTCTTTCCTTCAAATTCTTGCTGAATGCAAGAGGTGAGTCATTATTATTCACCTTGGCCCTCATTTTCTGCATTCAAAATACTTCAAACTCAGGACTTATAACTTAGTTTTCAATGTGGTTGAACTAATTTGTGCTTTATATGAGAGGTGATGATTGAGATTATGTCTGAATATTAGAGTATATATATTAGAGGGGCTTTTTTTTTTTTTTTTT